ATGCTCATGCTCAAACTCATACTCCCACTCAGATTCATACTCATACTCATACTCATACTCATAATCATCATCACTATCATCGTCATGAACATCATCTCCATCATCATCAGCAGCATCAACATACTCATACTCATACTCATCATCATTGCCATCGTCCTTCTCGTCATCTCCATCATCATCAGCAGCATCATCATCATCGTCATCACCACCATCATCATCATCATCAGCAGCAGCAGCATCAGCATGATCGTTATCACCATCACCATCATGATCATACTCAGCATCATCATCATCAGCGTCATAATCATGATCATCATCAACATCATCATCATCAGCACCATCAGCATCATCATCATCATCATCATCAGCAGCATCACCATCATCGCTCCTCATCATCATCATCCTCATCCCCTCTCCTCCATCCTCTATCCGCCCTCCTCTTCTTCCTCCTTCCATGTCCATCCCAAACCTTCGATACCCGCCCTCCCAGTCTTCGATCATATCCCCCTTGAAAGCATATCTTCCTTGCCTGCCACGTGAAGTTGGCGTGGCCCCGAAAGCACAGGAAGGGAGGGAGGAGGGAAGGGACAATGGAGGAGGGAGAAGGATGGAGCACGAGAGAGATTAGCAGGAGGCGGGTTAGGAGCAGGGAATGAAGCGGCAGAACCAGACGGCTGGGCCAGGCGGGCGGAACCTAAACGGGCGGTCTGGCGGCGGGCCCAGACGGCCTGGTTGACCAGCCCAGTCGGGCGGGTCCTGAGCGTTAGGGGCGCGGCGTTTCAATACATTTCGAGGAAGTCCCAAGCGAGAGCGCAATTCTTGAGAGAATTGTAAGGAAATCCCTCGCGAGAGTGCGATTTCGAATCAATTGTGCGGACGTATCAGGCGGGAGCCGCTGTTGTTGTAGTTCTGGGGCCAACGACGCAGTCTGAGATCAAGGATTTCCTTTTAAAAACAAAAGTGTGAGCCCCAGGAGGCGCACGTCAAAAAACACAATGGGCACGGCACAGGGGGGATTAACAATAATTTTGGTTTAGAAACGAATTCAACGCAACAGCAATCCGTTCCGCGGAACCATTTGAGCCAGAGACAGTGAATGGCCGTTCGCCCCCCTCAATATGATCTGAAAAGGCGGTGGCGATCGGTGACACCACCAAGTTCATGTCCTTTACGTATCCTGAGCATGGGTCGCCAAGCGCGCCCGAGCATCTGAATTCAAATGCCGCTTGAGTGTGCAATCCTGGCAGCAGTACGTGAATCATGCTCTGCCATGGTAGGCGATGCAGAGAGGAGAGGGTGGGAGCCAGACAAGGAGAAGAGGAGGACGAGGAAGGGGCGGAGGCTCCAAGGGGCCCTGATGCTCTACGCGAGCCTGAAGGCTTGGCATGGTCTTGGCGGCCCTCCATCGGCGGCGAGCCTGGGGGCGGAAGTGAGAAGGGGCGGGCTTTCTCAGAAGCTTCAGAAGTCCTCCTCCCCCTCCTCCTCCTCCTCCTCCCCCCCCTCCTCCTTCCCCTCTTCCTCCACCTCCCCGGTCTCCCGAGAGGTGTCCTCCAAGCCTGCCCCGAAGACGCAGAAAACGTTTCAGAAGGCCGGGAGCGCTTCTGAGAGTTGGCATCGCTCGGACGTGTGCGTTCTTCCTTCGGCGAGGACCATCGAGGAGCATCCTTGATTATTTGGCGAAAAACCACGCACGAAATTGAAAAAAGCACAGGGAATGGACGTCCGAGCGATGGCCAGTTCTCAGAAGCTTCAGAAGTCCCCCGGTCTCCTGAGAGGTGTTCTGAGCCTGCCCCGAAGACGCAGAACACGTTTCGGAACGCCGGGAGCGCTTCTGAGAAGCCTCGCCGCCCTTCGAGAAGGCGTTCTCCTTCTCGCTTCCCCCCCCCCGAGCGCGCCGCCGAATTTGGTTCTTGGGTCATAGCTGGGGTCTCCGTCGGCCGTTCGGGGCGATCCCGGCACCCCCCGGACGCTCATGCCGAGGCGCAGCCGCTGGAACGCACCCCGAAGCTGGAAGGCCGCCGAGGACCGACGAAAACGCCCGAAAACCTGGAACCTCGAACCTCGAACCTGAAGCTTGCCCCCCTTCCCCCCCCCCCCTCGCTCCCCGCCGCCGATTCCAGGGCGGCAGCCCTCCAGGCCCCTTCCCTGCGCGCGCCCTCTGCGCGGCCACCGGTGCCGCCGCCGCGCGGCATCGGTGCCGCCACCGCCTCGGCGGCGGCTCTTGCCGAGGCACGGCGCCCGCCGCGCGGGCGGAGCGTGGAGGCCCAGGTCGTACACGCCGGTCGCTGAGAGTAGGTATTTCTGGATTCCCAGATCCCAATCGACACGCTTTTGCTGTGTTCTGTAGTTCCCTGGGGGGGCCTGGACCCAATCAACTTGATCCGCCTTCCGACTTCCTGCTTTTACCTACTTCTTCCGACCGGCGTGTATCCAGCAAGACCCTTCCTCGGCCACTTTTTGGTTTCGTCGGCGGCGAGGCGGAGGCGATCCGCACCAGCGTCGGGCGCTGATCGGGGGCACCGACCGGCAAATTGTCTGGCGTGAGGGAGGACGAGAGGGAGGAGGGGGCGGCCGCGCGGGGGGGAGAGGGGGGTAGGCGCTCAGAAGCGGCGGAAGTGGAGGGGGGAAGGCTTCTCAGAAGCAACCCTGCTGTTGAGAAGGTGCGAATCTTGTCTATGTAGATGTAGGGCTGGCGCTCTCTAAGAAGCAGGCTCCTTCGAAGAAACCTTCCCCCTCACCCACACGCACGCACGCACGCACGCACGCACGCACGCACGCACGCACGCACGCACACACACACACACACACATACGCACGCACGCACGCACGCGCACACGCACACGCACACGCACACGCACACGCACACGCACGCACACGCACACGCACACGCACACGCACACGCACACGCACACGCACACGCACACGCACACGCACACGCACACGCACACGCACACGCACACGCACACGCACACGCACACGCACACGCACACGCACACGCACACGCACACGCACACGCACACGCACACGCACACGCACACGCACACGCACACGCACACGCACACACACACACACACACACACACACACACACACACACACACACGCTGGTGCGCGCCCGCCAGCCTCCTCTGCGTGGCCTCTGGAAGCCTCCAGAGGGCTCCCTTTGACGCCGACCATCCAGAGCCCCCCAATAGAAGCTCGAGTCTCGATCCTCGCGCGAGCGAGCTCAGGCGGAGGGGGCCATGCCAGTGGCGTAAGTGGTAACGGGGTGGGTGGAAAGTACCTTACGATGAGGGCGTTGGTTAAAGGATGTGCCCAGGAGGCTTCATACCCTGGAGGATCCCTTAGCTGATCAGGACGGCGGTGACATCCATGGCCGATCCGCGATTGGAGCTCCACTGGCTTCCAGACCCTGGGTTCCTTGTTCAATGGTTCCTTATCCCATGCCCTCACCGTCGTGCCACCCTGGAGGCGCCCATCCCTGTGACTGAAGCATCGGCGATGTATCGGAGACGTCGGCGATGCATCGGCGAAGTGGGAGTGGAGAAAATCGGGCTCCACATCGCGCCACATTGCCGATGCATCGGCGATACGGCGCAATCCTCCGACCCCGTCTACCCAGACCCCATTTGGGAGGCCAGGATCTTGGCGACTCTTGGGCCGTCGCTGGAGGATCCCTGGGCTCACTGGGACCGCGTTTGTCTCATCGAACGGGGAGGCGAAGGGCAAGGGCGACGAGAGAGTGACGAAGGGCTGGCCGCCGCTCCCGCCCGCCAGCAGAGCGCCCGCCGCCAGGCGCACATCGCCTTCGGCAGCCTCGCGGCCACCGCCTTCTATATGGTGCCTCCACCCCGCCTCGAGACTCGAGGTTCGAGGACCGAGGGTATCCCCTACCAGGGACTCGAGGATTCGAGGATCGAGTCCCCCACCCTGTCCAAGACGGCCAAGATTGGTCCAAGATGGTGCCAAGATCGTCTGTTTTTTGTGTTTTCTGAAGGGCTCCACTGGGGCTTCGGCCCAGCCCGCCGGCCACCCGGAAGGACGCGCAACGGCCCACAAAGACTAGAATTAATCGCCCCAAGATTCTCCAGGTGGCCTGAAGATGGTCCCTCCCTCCCTACCATCGCCACCCCCCGCCCGGTGTTCGACCTGGCGAACCACACCGTCGGCTTGGCGGACAAGGGCGCCGAGGGCGCGAGCTCCGACGGGAGCTGCGCGCCGCGGGTCGCCTGCCGGTCGCCGATGCAGACGTACTTCCCGCCGCTGAACGTCTGCGAGGACAGCGGGCACCGACGCCGTTGCCTTGCTGCCTCTATAGTCGTCTCTCCTCCTCGCATTCCTCCCACCCTAACCCTCATCCCTCCTCCTCATCCTCCACCTCCTCCTCCTTCCCCTCCTCCTCCTCCTCCTCCTCCTCCTCCTCCTCCTCCTCCTCTCCTCCTCCTCCTCCTCCTCCTCCTCTTCCTTCTCTCTTTCTCTTCATCCTCCTCCGCGTCCTTGTCATCTTTCTTCTCCTCCTTCTCTCCTCCTCTCTCTCCTCCTCCCTCCTCTCCTCCTCCTCCCCTCCTCCTCCTCCTCCTCTTCCTCCTCCTTCTCCTCCTCGTCCTCCTCCTCTTCCTCCTTATCCTCCTTATCCTCCCCATCCCTTCTCATTGTCCTCCTCTCCCTCCCCCCTCCCTCCCTCCCTCCCTCCCTCCCTTCTCCTCGCTCTTCCTTGTCCTCCCTCATCCTCGCCCTGCTCCTCCTCCTCTCCTCCACCTCCTCCTCCTCTTCCTCCTCCTCTTTCTCTTCATCCTCCTCCGCGTCCTCCTGCTCCTCCCCTCCTCCTCTTCGCCTCCCCCTCCTCCCCTCCTCCTCCTCCTCCTCCTCCTCTCCTCCTCCTCCCTCCTCCTCCTCCTCCTCCTCCCCATCCTTTCTCTCATCCTCCCATTCCTCTCCCATCCCTTCCCCCTTGCCCCCTCCCTCCCTCCCCCACTCCCTCCCACTGGGGGGTCAGAGCCCATGCGCGTCGCCCCAGACCGTCCATTGTTCTGGGAAGACCGCATGCCGCGAGATGCTTCCGGCCGGCGCCGCGATGGCTGCCCGCCGAGGCCGGACTTCCGTGTCCCCGTGCGCAGGCTCGGCTATGTGGCCCGAGTCGGCCGCCGTCCTCGCATGAGCGACGTGGCCGCGCTTGCTGCTGCTGCTGCTCATCGGCTTCCTGCTCGACCTGCCCCACCTGGCGCCTGGCCTGACGCCCGGGATATTCCCGCAGCTTGCGGCCGAGGCCATAGACATGATGATCATGATGGTCGTCGGGCGGCCGAGCCCGAGCCGGTGCTGGAGCGTGCCGCCGCCGCCGGCGACGCCCATGCGTACAGCGAGTGCTTCGCGAGCTCGGTGCCGGCTGCGTGGTGTAGGATGCCCGCCGCGCTGCCGCCCCCAGCCGCCGCCGCCGCGCCGATGTGGTGGCCGGAGCTGCCGTCGGGGTCGCCTCCGCCTCCTGGCGCTGCGCAGGCCTCGTGTGTTCCTGCTGCAGTTCGGGATCGCGCTCTACGCCCTGCTCCGGATGGTGGTCTGGAAGGTGTCCTGGATCGTGCTCGCCGAGTCGTTGGAGCTGTGGTTCTCGCTCCAGAGCGCGCTCATGCCGCAAGAGATGACGGGCTCCCCAACGATGCCGCAGATGCCGCGAGGACCGGCCTGAATTTGCTGATGGCTCCGTGGACGAGTCTCATCGCGATTCTAACAGCACTGTCGACTCCGCAGAGTTTGCGTATCCGCGGTCGCTACGCGCGCGGGTTCCCGATCGTGCTCCTGGTGATGCTCATGCTAATGATCAGGCGCTACGCCCCGCTGCTCTGGATAGTGCTCCGGACTGTGTTCCGGATCGTGCTCGCTGCCTCGCTGGAGCTCTGGATCGTGCTCCAGCTGGGGCGAATGCCGAGGGCGATGTCGGGCCCCCTGGCGATGCTGCAGACACCGCAGAGGACCGGCCAGAAGCCGCTGATGACTCTGCTGTTCCTCCGGAGGCTGCTCCGCCTACGGCTGGTCTGCCTCGGCCGTCGGCGATGCAGAGGGTGCAGATCGTGAATCCTGCCACGGACATCCAGGCGGCGGACGGAGCGGTCCGCCTCCTTACGCAGCACCTGTCCAGGATTGAGACCGTGCTGTACTGGAGGAAGAAGGCGACCCCACACTCCCCGCTGGTGCAGGACTACAGGCTCCGGGCGTGCGAGCTGCGGCGCCTAGTGGATGAGGCCGTTGTGCGGCGGGCCGCTCTGGACCCTAGAGGCTCCTCCGGTGCCCCCTGTTGTATGCTCGGCACAGCCTCCGACGATTGTGTGTAGATAATCGTGCTGCTGTGTAGCTCTATGTGTGCTGCGCGGGTGCGAAGATAGGAGGGAGGTTCGGAGGGGGGGTTCGGGATGGAGGCGTTTCTCCGCGCGGCCCGTGCACTCTCGCGAGCGTTGCTCGACTCGATGAGGGCCAGCGAGCGCGAGCGAAGAGGGAGTAGGGCCCAGGTCTGCGTCCCAGCCTTCCCCGCTCCTCGTCTTCATCATCATGTCCTCCCTCTCTCCCTCGCTTTCTCCTCCCGAGCGTCCAGTGTCCGGCCGTGCCGTGGCGGTCGCTCTTCGTGCGATTCGAGCCGATGACGGCCAAGGTCTGGTGGGGATGTTTCAGGACCGTTGGGTGAAAGGGTGATTGCGATCCTTCCCTAGGCGGGCCCTGCCACCCGTGCCGACGTGCCGTCTGCCCCGTCGCAGGGTCACGAGCAGGAGGTTTTTTGGTTGCGTCCCAGCCTTCTTCTCTCCTCCTCGTTTATTCTCAGCATGACCCCTCCCTCCCTTCGCCCCTCCTCCCGAGTGCCCTGAACGGGCACAGCATGCCACTGTCGCCATTTAGCTCTGCCATCCAGCTGCCAGTAATAACGGGTGGGGGGTGGGTGATGAGGTTTTGGGAAGGTCTGGACTCCTTGCTTCGGTTCGACGCGTCCCGTCCGCTCTGTCGCGGGAGTCCCATCGTATTGTACTGTATTTGTATACTTGGTGCCAGTGCAGAAATGTTTAGTCTGACGAATGTTCTGCTAGCTGCAGCGCCGCTTAGTCTCGGCAAGCCGTATGCTTCAGCGATGAGCCAATCCAAAAAAACTCTCCCTCCCTCCTCGCTTCTCCTTGTCCTCCTCCTCCTCCTCATCCGCTTCCTCCTCCTCCTCCTCCTCCTCCTCATCATCATCATCATCATCATCGTCATCGTCATCGTCATCGTCAGCATCATCATCTTCATCCTCCTTCTCTCCTCCTTCTCCTAATCATCGTATCATCAGCATCCTCATCAGCAGCATCATCAGCAACATCCTCATCATCATCAATATTTTCAGCAGCATCATCATCATCACCACCATCATCATCAGCAGCAGCATCACCAGCATCAGCATCAGCAGCATCATCATCAGCATCAGCAGCATCATCCTTATCATCATCCGCATCATCATCACCATCATCATCATCCTCATCATCATCCTTTTCCTCTTCGGCGCTTTCTCGTGATCCCTGCCCAGTGGCGCTCGTCCGCGTAGCCGAACCCTTGGGGAGACGACTCCCATCTGAGCGGAGGCCCCTCTCTCAGTCATTCCGCGGCCGCTCCTCCTTCCGCTGCCCACTGCCCGGGTGCCGAGGTCGCCAGGTCGACGTGCCCGTCCCCCGCGGACCGCGTACTGCCACGGGCCGCCGCCGCACCCCTCCGTCGGCCGAGGCCCGACGAGGGCCACCCCGGCGATCCCCGCCCGCGGCGCTCGCCCTCCGCTGGTCGGCGCTGGGCCTCCCCCGAGGCGCCCTGCAGACCTGCGCCGCGTCACGCAGGCTGCACAGCGATGCGCGCCGCTCCGTCTGTGGTGGGCCCTCACCTGTCTCAGGAGGGGAAAAACACACACAGACACGATGAATCGTCGACTCCCAGGAGAATACGGAAAAATATGGGAAGTGGGGGGGAAGACAAAAACCTAGAAAATATAGGAAAATATGGGGAATCCTTTTACTGTATTTGTGTGCATTTGTTTGTGTGTCTCAGGGCCCCTTCACTGTTGATGAGGTCGGTCCGATGCGACGTCGGTTCCGGCCGGCCCGATCCGGTGTTGTGCACCCCAGCGCCGCCGATCCGATTCGCTGCCAATGCCGTGCCCCGATGCGGCCCGGTGCGATGCACGTTCCGCTTCGATGTTGTTCCCCGATTCGATGTTGATTGATGTTGATGTTGTGCAAATGTTGTCCGTTGAGCTTGAACAGCGCATGGTGCAGACTTGTACTGTGTGCATGTGGATGCACGTATTGTGCGCGCGTGCGCGCGCGTTCCGCCGCCATTGTGTACCAGTGCGGTTTCTTGATGCTGCGGTCGTGCTCCTGAAACATATTTTTCGCCAAACGTTGATTCACTAACGAGGCAGTTCCTTCTAAATAGCCGATGCCTCGCCACTGTGGCCGCCTCTTCCTCATATGGGCTCGCGCGCACACGGCTCGCGCTGCGCCACAGCAGTGGACATCCTGGGGGCCTTGGCAGGCCCAGATCGCCCCAGTTGGACCCCACAAGGCGGACATGAGGCGAAGAGGACGGGAGGGCGTTCGGGCAAGAAGGCGCGGGATGTTGGAGGAGAACACGGAAGGGCGGCGCAGTTCTAGATGCCGCCGTCGTTCCGTAGTAGTGGTAAGTCGGTTTTGAAGAAAGTTGGTTTGGTGTGGTTTGTTTGCCCTTCGCGTTGCGCAGGTCCTTGTTCTCTCAGCCACGCTTCCGCGCCTTGCTTCGGTGGTCAATTACAAATCTTGCCTGAGCCGCCCAGCCGCAGGACCCAAGCTGTTCGGACTACATGTTCATGACCTTGGACGAGGAAGGGCGCCTTTGGCAGCAACCGAGCATGCAACTTGTGAGCATGATTGTTGGCGTCAGACGAGAGCTCGATATTGTAAATGTTAAAAAATGTCGCGTGAGAGCGCGATTCTTGGATGTCGAGAACGCAGCGCCTGAGTACGTTGCCAGGAAGCCCTGGGCGAGAGCGCGACTCCTGAGCAAATCGCCAGAAAGTCTCTGGCGCCAGCGCTGTCCCTGAATGAACGCAATGGGCGGGCAGACCCTGATGGTCGAGCTGGGCGGGCGGGGCATCAAGGCGAGCAGGTGGGCTTCCAGTCAAGCAAAGGGTGACGTTCGGGTCGGGCGGGCGAGGCATGGAAGCGAAGTTCGCAAGTGAGGAAGAAGCGTCAGGCGAAAGCACGATTTTTTCGCAAAATGCGAGGAAGTCTCGTGCGAGAGCGCGGTTCCTGGTCGCCGAGAGCGCAGCGCCGGCGTTGGTTGTCAGGACGTGCCAGGCGAGAGCGCCATGTTGTTGAGTGAATTGCGAGGAAGTTTCTGGCGCGAGCGCACTCATGGAGTAAACTGTGAGGAAGGATCCGGCGGGAGCTGTTGTTGTTCCCCATATCCTAAGATGGGGTTCTTGTTATTACTCGGACGCCGCCGACTCCAGAGAACCAGAAAGAACACACCTACTCATACACAGACTTACTCATCATACTCAGACCTACTCCTACTCATACCTTCTCATGATCTGACTTATTCAACACACAACATGCAGGCCTACTCATATTCAGACTTACTCATGCTGGGACTCCTTCATACCCAGACTTACTCAAACCCAGACTCGTTCCAGACCTGCTCATACACAGACTTGCTGCTACTCAGACCTACACATACTCAGACCTTCTCCTAGTCTGAGTTACTCAACGCACGGACTGAGACCTACTCAGATTCAGACCTAGTCATACTCAGACTCGCAAGGGGAGCCGTCATGGGTGTTTTCACGAGCCCGTTCGCGGCCAGTTTGTGGGGATGTCTCAGGCGGTTTGCTCGTTTTCATGGCCAACATCCTTGGCTTTCAGAGCAGATTCTGAGGATGTCTCAGGCGGGGCGTTGGTTTCAGCACCCCTAAGGGGAGCCGCCACGGGTGTTTTCACGGGCCCGTTCGCGGCCAGTTTGTGGGGATGTCTCACGCGGGCTGCTCGTTTTCATGCCCAACATCCTTGGCTTTCAAATAATTTTGAGGATGTCTCAGGCGGGGCGTTGGTTTCAGCACCCCTAAGGGGAGCCGCCAGGAATGTTTTCACGGGCCCGTTCGCGGCCAGTTTGTGGGGATCTCTCAAGCGGTTTGCTCGTTTTCATGCCCAACATCCATGGTTTTCAGAGCAGATGTTGAGAATGTCTCTGGCGGGGCGCTGGTTTCCGCACCCCTACGGGGAGCCGCCAGGGGTGTTTTCATGGGCCCGTTCGCGGCCAGTTTGTGGGGATGTTTCATGCGGTTTGCTCGTTGTCATGCCTACCATCCTTGGCTTTCAGATCAGATTTTGAGGATGTCTCAGGCGGGGCGTTGGTTTCAGCACCCCTACGGGGAGCCGCCAGGGGTGTTTTCACGGGCCCGTTCGCGGCCAGTTTGTGGGGATGTTTCAGGCGGTTTGCTCGTTCTCATGCCCAACATCCTTGGCTTTCAAAGCAGATTTTGAGGATGTCTCAGGCGGGGCGCTGGTTTCAGCACCCTTACGGGGAGCCGCCAAGGGTGTTTTCACGGGCCCGTTCGCGGCCAGTTTGTGGGGATGTTTCAGGCGGTTTCTTTGTTCTCATGCCCAACATCCTTGGCTTTCAAAGCAGATTTTGAGGATGTCTCAGGCGGGGCGCTGGTTTCAGCACCCCTAAGGGGAGCCGCCAGGGGTGATTTCACGGGCCCGTTCGCGGCCAGTTTGTGGGGATGTCTCAGGCGGTTTGCTCGTTGTCATGCCCACCATCCTTGGCTTTCAGAGCAGATTTTGAGGATCCCTCGGGCGGGGCGCTGGTTTCAGCACCCCTAAGGGGAGCCGCCAAGGGTGTTTTCACGGGCCCGTTCGCGGCCAGTTTGTGGGGATGTTTCAGGCGGTTTGCTCGTTCTCATGCCCAACATCCTTGGCTTTCAGAGCAGGTTCTGAGGATGTCTCAGGCGGGGCGCTGGTTTCAGCACCCTTACGGGGAGCCGCCAAGGGTGTTTTCACGGGCCCGTTCGCGGCCAGTTTGTGGGGATGTTTCAGGCGGTTTGTTTGTTCTCATGTCCAACATCCTTGGCTTTCAAAGCAGAGTTTGAGGATGTCTCGGGCGGGGCGCTGGTTTCAGCACCCCTAAGGGGAGCCGCCAGGGGTGATTTCACGGGCCCGTTCGCGGCCAGTTTGTGGCGATATCTTAAGCGGTTTGCTCGTTCTCATGCCCAACATCTTTTGTTTGCAGAGCAGATTCTGAGGATGTCTCTGGCGGGGCGCTGGTTTCAGCACCCCTACCGGGAGCCGCCAGGGGTGATTTCACGGGCCCGTTCGCGGCCAGTTAGTGGGGATGTCTCAGGCGGTTTGCTCGTTGTCATGCCCACCATCCTTGGCTTTCAGATCAGATTTTGAGGATGTCTCAGGCGGGGCGTTGGTTTCAGCACCCCTAAGGGGAGCCGCCAGGGGTGTTTTCACGGGCCCGTTCGCGGCCAGTTTGTGGGGATGTCTCAGGCGGTTTGCTCGTTTTCATGGCCAACATCCTTGGCTTTCAGAGCAGGTTCTGAGGATGTCTCAGGCGGGGTGCTGGTTCCAGCATCCCTAAGGGGAGCCGCCAGGGGGTAGGACACGGGCCCGTTCGCGGCCATTTTGCGGGGATGTCTCAAGCGGTTTGCTCGTGTTCATGTTGAGAGGAAGGAGGTGAGGCGTGCTGCTCCCTTGGCTAAACGCTCGTTTTACAGATCCCACTGCCAACTATCTTAAAACATATACACATTACCACAGGCTGAGGAGGGCACGGCCTGGCAGCTCAGGAAGGGGAATGAATGGGAGGCTCATATTCAATCATACTCAAAGCTCACTCTGATTCATACTCACTGGCATTAGGATTCACTCGTCTTCGTCGGCCCTGTCGCCCACGTGGACGCGGTATTATGGTCAAACGCTCATGAACAGACGCTCACTATGGCATGACATAAAACATGAGATGCGCATATGAGGAGCTCCACGCAGTGAGTATTGTTGTAGTTTGGGGGCCAGGGGCGCAGGTTGAGCATCAGGAGTTCCCCGACAAAGTTGCGAGCCCTGGGGGGAGCACGTCAACTTGAAAGCACCATGCGCATCAGTGGGACGGGATGAACCATGATGAATTTTTCTTGGATAACAATTGAACAGCAATTAAAACGAAAACGACGACGACGACGACGACGACGACGACGACGACGGCGACGACGACGGCGACGGCGACGGCGGCGACGACGACCATGCCCTGCGGGGAGCGGCGGTGGGTGTCCGGCGGCGAGGACACCCGGACCTGCAGATGGTCGAGCGCGGCGCCCGTCTCCTTCGCCGCGCTGCTGGCCACGCTGGGCGTGCTCGACCTCATCAGCCACAGGCGATCCCCCGGCGCGGAGGGGGGGGGGAAGCTTGAGGGGTAAATCTGGTATGTCCCTCTACAGAAGGAGTATCTAAGAACAGTCGGAAAAAACATATGGGGACGATGTCTGGAATACCTTAAATTTTTCGTCCAAAATCCGCCCGTAGGAGGACATGCCCGACCTAGCTCGGGAGCCTTGGGACGGGGGTGAAGGCCAACGGGGGTCAGCCAGAGCGCCGGATCTTGCAGGATCCTGCGGAGCCAGGGCTGCATGGACCCGGGTCAGCGCGCAGGATCCTGTAGGATCTTGCAGGATCGTGCAAAGTTGGACTGACCTAGGTTTTGCACTGACCCACGTCAGTAGATCCCTGAAATCGAGGACCCAGGCTTGGGTCTGGGCCTCCCAGACGGTGTCCGAGCAGACGGGGTCGGAGGATCGCGCCGCATCGCCACTGCATCGGCGATGCGGCTCGATGTGGAACCTGATTCTCTCTACGCCGACGGCGCCGATGCATCGCCGACGTCGTCAAGAGAGTGTGCGTGTGTGGATATTATAGCCAGGCGTCTGACATCTCCCACATCTCCCACATTGCAGTGCCCCCGCTTCTTTTTTCAAAACGCGGACCTGATCAGCCACAATGAGTTTCCCAGGGGGGGCGGAATCCAGGGCAAGGGCCTGGGGGCGTCGAAGACCCCGATTCTGGGATGCCAGAACTTCCTGGTCGCGACCGACGGGATCGGTCGCGGCCGAGGTTGCTTCGAGTTCTGGTATCGGTCGCGACCGCTCTGCCTCCGAATCGGCCGCGGCCGATATTGGAGTGCCGCTCGGTCGCTGCCGATCGCGACCGCAAGAGACCCGCATCCAAGGATCTGGGGAGGGGAGTGTGGACACTGTGGCTGCCGGGCACCGCCCCCCAGGGTCTCCCACGGCCGGGCCAGCCGTCGACGCCCGCTCCTCTCTGTGCGAGCGCGCCGATCACCGCCAGGGTCCATCCTGAGCCCAGGATCGTTGGCATCGCTCCGACGTGTGCCCTATTTCTCGGCGGGGACAATCGAGTCGCGAAAAAGTGCACGCTGGACGCGTGAGATCTCCCACACCTCGCTGCCCCCCTCTCCGTTCCGCACTGAGGCCGGGCCCCACCGGCCACGGGGGCATCTTGGGCGGGGAGGCCCGAGGAGATCTCCGGGCCTTCGGGCCTCTCGGAGGCTCCTCGCCGCCACGGCCGGGTGTCCGCCCCGAGGGTCTGCTTGCAGGGCGAGCCCGCGTGCAGGCCCGAGGGCCTCCCGCCTCTGGCCGGGGTGCGCCCCAGGACAGGCTTATCGGGCGCCTCGAGACGGGGGTCAGTGCAAGCGGGGGTCAGCCAGGGCACCGGATCCTGCAGGATCCTGCGAAGGCCCCCTCTGGCCGACCCGGGTCAGCGAGCGGCTCGTGGCCGCGAGGCGGCCGCGCCGATTGGCTGACCCGAGTTTGCGACGACCTGCGTTGCAGTTTTTTTGTTTGTCCTGCATTGCAGTTGTTGGTGTCCTGCTGACCCGGGTCTGGATTCAAGGGCTCCCCCGAGGGCGCGAAGTTATTCGCGCTTCGCGGTCCTCGTTTCTCCTCCCCCTCCTCCTCGTCCTCCTCTTCTCCCTCTGGGGGGGCGGCGCGAGAGCGCGAAGTTATTCGCGCTTCGCGCAGCGCGAAGCGCGAAGTTGGGAGCCCTAGTTGAGGCTTGAGGACCTCCCGTGACCCCATCCGCCAGACGAGAGGGGAAGAGAGAAAGGCAGGGAGCTGGCGAGGCGCTCGGGAGTGGTCGGGCGCCTCCCGTGGTTTTCGGAAGCCCTTCGATGGTCGCTCCCCCGAGGGCGCGAAGTTATTCGCGCTTCGCGCTTCGCGGTCCTCGTTTCTCCTCCCCCTCCTCCTCGTCCTCCTTTTGTCCCTTTGGGGGGGCGGCGCGAGAGCGCGAAGTTATTCGCGCTTCGCGGAGCGCGAAGCGCGAAGTTGGGAGCCCTAGTGGTTTTCGGAAGCCCTTCGATGGTCTCCATCGGCTCCTCATCGGTCAGACGAGAGGGGAAGAGAGGAAGGCAGGGAGCCAGCGAGGTGCTCGGGAGTGGTCGGGCGCCTCCCGTGGTTTTCGGAAGCCCTTCGATGGTCTCCATCGGCTCCTCATCGGTCGGACGAGAGGGGAAGAGAGGAAGGCAGGGAGCTAATTAGCGAGGTGCTCGGGAGTGGTCGGGCGCTTCCCGTGGTTTTCGAAAGTCCCTCGACGTTCTCTATCGGCTCTCTTGCCTCCCTGGAGGTGGTCGGACGCTTCCTGCGGTTTTTGGGAAATCTCCCACTGATTTCGTCGAATGGTTTCTCGGGGCCCGGGGCGTTTTTCCATCGGCAGCCACAGATTCCGGCAAGCTTGTTTGCGTGGATGGTCAACGGCACCGTAACGGGTACTTACAAACAGGTACTTTGCAATTTTGCCGAAAGTTGCCACTTTAGGGCCTCTTTCTGGCAATGCAGCGTTGCCCGCATCGGGAAGGGTTGGGTTCGCTGGGTCACTGGCCAAAGTACCCGTTAGTGGAGTCCCCGTTTGTGGGGCGCTGAGATGGGGGGGGCTTGAACCTGAAGCAAGTTGCGAACGTCGTGCGGAAGCCACGCAAGTCGAAAGGCACCTACACGCCCATGTTCGATTGAAGGGGGGTGAGGGGGGGCAGGGGGGGGGGGCGAACGCCATCCAAGCAAACTTGCCCGAATCTAAAAGAAAGGTTCGAACCCAGACCCCCGACGACATGATTTTTTCATGACGTCGACCCACAGGTTTCGACCTCTTCCCAGGGACCCGCTTCTCAGCCTGAGTCGTTCTCGTTGACGGCCCCGAGGCCCAGGAAGGGCCCCCCGGAGGCCGAGAACAGCGATAACCCCCCGTCGCGATGCTCGTCAGCACTCCAGGGGGGTCTGAGTCTCAAGAAAAAAACGGGCTCCTGGAGATCCCTGGCGTGGGGGGGGTCGCGGGTCGAGAGCCCCGAGGTTCCTGTTCGAGCCTCCGGTCGAGGCGTCCCGTCGCCGCGGCCAGAAAGCCGCCCCTGCCGGCGCCCGGCCAGGGCTCTCGGGAGCCTCTGCGGAACAGTTTTGAAACCTCTGGAGCCTCTTGGGGGCTTCTTGGGGTCCTCTTGGGGCTTCCTGGGGGCTTGTCGGGGATCTTGGAGGCTTCTTTGGGAGCCTATTGGGGGCCTCTCGGGGCGCCTCTTGGGACCAAGAGCTCGAATGTCTGTTCGGGTTCCCCCTCTGGGCCGCCTCTTCTGGCCATCCTGGGGCCAGGGCCGTCTTGGAGGCTTTTTGTTTCGTCTTGGAGCGATCTTGTGGCCTCTTGGGTCGTCCAGGGCGGTCGACAGTTACAAAAGGCCGTACCGCCAAAATGAACCCTGAGCGTCTTGGGCGCTTCTTGGGCCGTCTTGGGACCAACGTGGACCATCTTGGCGCGAACTTAAAACATTCTTAAATTCTGACCAGAGGTTTTAGCACTCCTCTGGCCAGTTGGGCCGGCGAGTTCTCGAAGATTGCGAAGCCCAGGGCGCTTCCCATCAGATGCGCCTCGTCGAGGGCATGCTGGTGACGCCGGAATCGTTCCGAACGGCCGGCTGAGGCCCCGAGTTGCACCCTGAAAGCCAATAAGGGGGGGGCTCCGCTCGTCTGCAGGGGGGGGGGGGGGAGGAAGGATCCTTTGCTCGGTTTCGAAGCCAGGCGCCCAAGAAATACGCGCGCGCTCTCTCTCTCTCTCTCTCGCTCTCGCTCGCTCTCTCCCTTGAGGTGGGGGAGGAGTTAGGGCAGGAGGCGGAAGGGGCGGTGGAGGACGAAGGAGGAAGAGGGGGAGGAGAAAGAGGAGGAGGGCGGAGCAGCAGCGGCGGTGGAGGAATGGGGGAGGAAGCCAACAGGAGGGAGAGGAGGAGGAGGGGAGGAGGAGGAGGAGGAGGAGGAGGAGGAGGAGGAGGAGGGAGGAGGAGGAAGAGGAGGAGGAGGAGGGAGGAGGCGGAGGAGGAGGAGGAGGAGGTAGGAGGAGGAGGAGGAGAGAGGAGGAGGAGGAGGAGGAGGGGAGGGAGGGAGGAGGAGGAGGAGGAGGGAAGTAGGAGGAAAAGAGGAGGAGGAGGAGGAGGAGGAGGAGGAGGAGGGAGGGAGGAGGAGGAGGAGGGGAGGAGAGGGAGGAGGAGGAGGAGGAGGAGGAGGGAGGAGGAGAAGGAGGAGGAAGGAGGAGGAGAAAGCGGCAGGAGGAGGAGGAGAAGGAGGAGGGAGGAGGAAAGAGGGAGGAGGAGGAGGGAGGAGGGAGCGAGGGAGGAGGAGGAGGAGGGAAAGAGGAGGAGGAAAGAGGAGAAAGAGGAGGAGGAAGAGGGCGGAGGGAGGAGGAGGAGGAAGAGGAGGAGGAGGAGGAAAGAGGAGGAGTGAGGAGGTGGGGCGGAGCCGCAGCGGCGGTGGAGGATGGGGGAGGAAGCCAACAGGAGGAAGAGGAGGAGGAGGAGGAGGAGGACGAGGACGAGGACGAGGAGGAGGAGGAGGAGGATGGAGGAGGAAAGAGGAGGAGGGAAGAGGGAGGAGAGAGGAGGAGGAAAGAGGAGGAGGGAGGAGGTGGGGCAGGAGGCGGTGGAGGATGGAGGAGGGAGCCCACAGGGGGCAGCGCTGAACGCGAGTCGGCGGCCCGCCTCGCGCCGACCCTCTCCGGCAGCTCTCGGCCTGGGGGAGCCCCGCGGCGCCGCCCGCCCCTCGCCCCACGAGGACTGGGGACTGCGTGGATCTTGCGGGCGGACCTGTCCGTCGGCGGCGGGCGATGGGGGTGAAGCGAGAAGGAGGAGGCCCTCTCAGAGGGCGGAAAAGAGAGGAGGCCCTCTCGATGGGGACCCTCTCGATGAAACGAGAGGAGGCCCTCTCGATGGGGATGAAACGAGAGGAGGCCCTCTCGATGGGGACCTCTCAGGCAGAAGCCCTCGCGCCTTCCGAGGAGCTGTTTCTTCTGTCTCTTCGGGGAAGGCGTCGAAGACTCCCCAGAAGGCCGGGGGACCTCCGAGCCTTCTGAGAGGGCCCGCTGCTTCTCGCTTCCCTCCCCCGCGCTCGCCGCCGAATCAGACCTCCCAGACGCCATGGCCCGCGGTTCTTCTTCCTTCGACGACGCGTTGCAGGGCCACCCTCGTCTGCGCACGAGCCTCGGGCCACGATGCGCACCCCCCCGCCCTTCTCCGCCCGGCCCCCAGCCCGGGCGCACCCGACGGGAGGAGAGCGGGGCAAGGCCGTCGCGGGTGTTCGGAAGTGCTCTGATGTTCTCTTTTCTTCTGCGGCTTTCCGGATCTGTTCGGACGCTTTCATCGCCTCTACGGATGGTCCCTGCAGTCTTCTCAGCTTTGTGGAGGTGCTCTGCAGTTGTTTGAGACCTGTTCGCGACACGGGCGCTGGTGGTGCGAGTGAGAGAGAAACAGTAAAACAGAGAAACAGAGACGGCGGCACCGCTGGACGTGATGCGGGGACGCCAGAATCGTCTCGGACGGCCCGCTGAGGCCCCGAGTTGCACCCTGGAGGCAAGCAAGAGGGGCTCTGTTCGTCTGCAGGGGGGTTGGAAAGATCCCTTCCTCGGTTTCGAAGCCAGACGCCCGAAACTTACGCGCGCGCTCTCTCTCTCTCGCCCTCTCTCTCTCAAGTCCCAGGAGGAGGTAGGGCAGGAGGCGGTGGAGGAGGGCGGAGGAAGAGGAGGAGGAAAGAAGAGGAGGGAGGAGCAGCAGCGGCAGCGGCAGTGAGGGGCAGAGGAAGGCCCGGGGAGGAGGAGGCAGGAGGACGGGGAGCAGGAGTAGCAGAGTGGAACGAGGAGAGAGACAGAGAGACAGAGAGACACACACACAGACACACACACACACACACAGACACACACACACACACACACAGACACACACACACACACACACACACACACACACACACGCGCGCGCACACACACGCGCGCGCACACACATACACAAACACACACACACACACGGGGAAAGAGAGAGAGAGAGAGTTGGAATAGGAGCCGGATGGACCGAGCAGGATGCAGACGCTGTCGGAGGTATCTTCGGAAGCGGGGAAGCGGCAACGGGCAGCCCGGTGTTGCGCCACGGGGCCCACGCGTTGGCCCCCGCAGGCTGTACAAGCAGGCCATCGAGAAGGCGACTGGCCTCGAGAAGGGAGATCACCATCCTGCCCCCTCTCCGCATGCTCCGCCCCCTGCTCGTCGCACACTGCGTATCATTTAATTGTTACGAGACCTCCTTGCTTACGAGCGCTTCCGCTCGCGATCTTCGGCCAATTGTTCTGACGAGAGGAGGTGGGGAAATTGAACTCGCGATATAGAGCACCTACGCCGGCCCAACCGGCTGGTAAGACTGGACCCCCCAGAATCTAGAGAGGTGGAAGGGGGCGATGAGGAGGAAGCGGTCATGCAATAGTGTCCGAGTTCCTCGCTCGGCCACACCAGACCCGGCTAATTCGACGTCGTTGCGTCACAGGTTGCGAGCGGCCAATGGCGTATTTGTTCGCGTGATTCGAGGGCAAATGAAAAGCGTGGCGAATGAAAAGTATTCGTGAAAGAGGCACAATATCATAGCCAGGTAGCCAAGGCTTTGCGTAGTTCTGTTTAAGGTAACACAGCTCAGACTCCACAGTGGCGTCCAGAGCAGTTTTGCAGAGTTTTGTACGGTACTCTTCTGGCAAATCTCGGAAATTGCATGTATGCTTACACATTGGAATATCGTTTTGAGGACATTAGGTGTCATTTGCCCATTGTAGTTCTCGACTGCTCCCTTACAGATTCGCTGAGCTTGTCGTCGTCCGTAGCTGTGGCAATGAATCATCGCGTAGATCAGATCAACGCGAAGCACGTGGCTAAGCGCACGCATGGCTCAGCTTAGTCCACTCAGTCTCGCGCACGGTAGTGTTTCTTGTCGCGATCAAGTTGGAATTGGAGAACATGTACATTCAGAGCAATGAGTCCTGAACACTTGAAGGGGGCCTGCAGGAATGCGACCATTCATGAGTGTTCGTGGGGCTCGACGGGCAGGGATAGGAGAAACGGATTGGTATGTGGCAGTGGGTTGATATGTTGGACATCGGTTTGGACGATCTGATATACACCTCCGCGTGTCCAAAAAAACGCCCGGGGTCAAAGGAAGGCGATGAACGGGACCACCCCGTTGTGAAGATTGAATTTGGATAGAAATCCGCTTCAGGGGGCGGCCATTGGGCAAATCGAAGGTGTATAGCTTGTTGTTTTGTATTGTGAGCCCTTCCTTTGACAATCGCGACCGTGAGGCGAGCGAGTACTGCCAGTGAGCGAAGACAGCCTTGCCTCATCCTCCGTACGTTGCAAGTGATGGTTGTGATGCCTGGGTCCGCTGCCGAGTTGCCCGCGACATGAATGAGAGATCTTGGGTAGGCAGGTCAGAAAGTAGGCTTGGCACGGGTCTTATATCCTAGATTGTCCCTGGGCACTGGGTGACCACCACCAGCGAGGAGGAGGGGCAGGAGAGCTGCAAGAGGCATTAGCACAACGATTCACTGACAGGCAGCACACGTATCAGTGACTTCTCCGCGCCATTATCACGCCAGTCTTCCTCTCCCAATGAGCGACATATTCTTTCCTCTTCATAACTGTTCCGACTAGTTCCTCAGCTCTCCATCATCTTTCTTCCGCGCAAGCTGTATTTGGCCCCCCTTCCCTCTCTTCACCCACTTCCCCGTCCTCACCGCCCCCTTTCCCCCCCCCCGCTTTCCCCAGCTCAGGTTCTCGTCCCCTGCCCCACCTCCTACCGCTCCTATGAGCAAACCGTGGGTGCCTCGCGCGGCGCGCAATGACTGTATTAAACCCAGTCCACACGCCCGCCCCGTCAGATTTGGCACGACGTTCGCGCGGCGCTGTTTCGATGCAGATCCGACGTGGGTCCGACACAACGCGCCAGGCCTTCAGGATGCTCCTTTCACGCCGTTCTCCCCGCCCCCCTTTTCCTCTAGAGAAAGTCCGCATGAGCGGCTCCTGAGGGGTAGCCAGCAGCCACTGCGGACCTCCCGCAGTTCCAGGTTCAGTTACGGGAGGTCCGCATCGGCCGCCAGGAACTGCCGCCCCAGATTCATGCGGACCTCAGGCCTCCCGAAATTGGAGGCAGCGTTCCCCGCCTTAGGTTCTCGTCCCCTTCCCCACCTCCTACCGCTCCCCTTACCCACACCAGGAGTGTCGCTACCGAGGAACCCCACATACTTACATTATGGCTGGAGTGATGATAGCTGAAAAGAAGCATGTGAGAATGATGTTGGTGGCCGTTCCCTGCGCGCCCCCTCTCATATCGAGAAAATGGCACGCCTGCTGCGCCGTGCGAGCCTGCAACGGATAGAGACCGCACCCCACGCGCACCCCCCTCTGTTGTCGAGACGTTGCCACGCCTGCCGCGCCCTGCACGCCTGAAACGCATAGAGACCGCACCCCCTGTGCACCCCCTCTGGTGTCGAGAATTCCCACGCCTGCCATGCCCTGCGCACCTGCAACGCATAGAGACCGCACCCCCTGCGCACCCTCCTGGTGTCGAGAAAATGCCGCGCCTGCCGTGCCCTGCGCGCCTGCAACGCATAGAGACCGCACCCCCTGTTCACCCCCTCTGGCGTCGAGAATTCCCACGCCTGCCGCGCCCTGCGCGCCTGCAACGCATAGAGACCGCACCCCCTGCGCACCCTCCTTGGTGTCGAGAAAAATGCAGCGCGCCTTGCAAAACGATAGATGGACGCACCCCCTGTGCACCCCCTTCTGGTGTCGAGAATTCCCACGCCTGCCATGCCCTGCGCACCTGCAACGCATAGAGACCGCACCCCCTGCGCACCCTCCTGGTGTCGAGAAAATGCCGCGCATGCCGTGCCGTGCGCGCCTGCAACGCATAGGGACCGCACCCCCTGTTCACCCCCTCTGGTGTCGAGAAAATGCCGCGCCTGCCGCGCCCTGCGCGCCTGCAACGCATAGAGACCGCACCCATTGCGCACCCTCCTGGTGTCGAGAAAATGCCGCGCCTGCCGTGCCCTGCGCGCCTGCAACGCATAGAGACCGCACCCCCTGTGCACCCCCTCTGGTGTCGAGAAAGTGCCAACGCCTGCCCGCCCTGCGCGCCTGCAAACGCAAGAGACCGCCCCCTTGTGAACCCCTATGGTGTCGAAGAAGTTCCCCGCTGCCACCGGCCTGCGCGCATTGCAACGCATAGACGACCGCACCCCCTGCGCACCCTACTGGGTCGAAAAATGCCGCGCTGCCGTGCCTGCGCGACTGCAACGCAATAGACCGCACTCCCATTGTTCACCCCCTCTGGTGTCGAGGAATTCCCACGCCTGCGCGCCGTGCGCGCCTGCAAAGAATAGAGACCGCACCCCCTGCGCACCCCCTGGTGTCGAGAAACTCTCGCGCCTGCGTGCCACTGCGACGGCCAACGACTTAGAGACCGCACCCCCTGTGCACCCCCTTGTGGCGTCGAGAAAGTGCCACGCCTGCCGCGCCCTGCGCGCCTGCAACGCATAGAGACCGCACCCGATGTGCACCCCCTCTGGTGTCGAGGATTCCCACGCCTGCCGCGCCCTGCGTGCCTGCAACGCATAGAGACCGCACCCCCTGCGCACCCCCTCTGGTGTCGAGGATTCCCACGCATGCCATGCCCTGCGCACCTGCAACGCATAGAGACCGCACCCCCTGCGCACCCTCCTGGTGTCGAGAAAATGCCGCTCCTGCCGTGCCCTGCGCGCCTGCAACGCATAGAGACCGCACCCGATGTGCACCCCCTCTGGTGTCGAGAATCCCCACGCCTGCCATGCCCTGCGCGCCTGCAACGCATAGAGACCGCACCCCCTGCGCACCCTCCTGGTGTCGAGAAAATGCCGCGCCTGCCGTGCCGTGCGCGCCTGCAACGCATAGAGACCGCACCCCCTGTTCACCCCCTCTGGTGTCGAGAATTCCCACGCCTGCCGTGCCCTGCGCGCCTGCAACGCATAGAGACCGCACCCTCTGCGCACCCTCCTGGTGTCGAGAGAGTGCCTCGCCTGCCGTGTTCTCCCTCTCCTTCTCTTCCAGCCGCGGGTGCAGCGCAGCTGGGAAGAGAAGGAGAG